AAGTAAATATCAAGACAGTTAATAATGTCGTTAGTTTTACCATCAGTTCAAGCCCGAAAGGGGAACAGAGTCGCATCACAGACACAGTGATGATACAGTACACAAGCCGCGGTTAAGACAGTGCTATGATTTCTGACAGGCAGTTCACTCTCCAGTGATGTGACCCTGTTCCCCTCATACACACACGCACACACACGACACGTTACTACTCTGCGCTGCGCAAAACTCCGCATTTGAACAGTCAATAGCAAGCAACTTTACAGATCTTCTTGCACCAAGAGCTTGTAACACTCCAAAGAGAAAGGAAAACTTGAAATCGCATCATATGACTCCTTTAAGAAGATTTGTTTCAAGGAGAAAATATTTCTCACGCTAGATTTAAGCTCTTGAAAATGATACAATGTAGAGTGATAGGAAAATTAGCTATGATACAGAAGGAAAGTGATTCTCAATCAGGATGTGCATAAGCAAGTTTCTTGCTTTGTTAAATCAGAAAAAAATTCTACTAAATACAGTATGCTTACATATAATAACATAATAATTTAATAAGATATATAAATATGACTATTACAATATATATATCTTGGCTGAGGGGAGTACATAATAAAAACAAAACAATTTGAAAAACATTTCTTTAGGGGATAAAGTTTAAGAGTCCTATGTACATTAAACTCTTGTACAACATGAATAAGTCACCTATTAGTACTTTCTAAGGATTAAGCTTGTATGCAGTACAATTAAAATACCACGCAAAAAAAAAAAAAAAACTCCCAGAAACTGTAATAAGTAGTCATGTTGCATATTGAATGACATTTTAATGACCGTTATAATGATGGCTAAGCAAGAAACGAATATTCCTGAGGCAAATATTCTTAAATGTAACATGACACACTGGAAGAAATCATGCCAGCCGTCTCAGTTCAGATGCACATGTGTGTTTGGGAAGTGCTGAGCTTCCTGAAACAACAGAGGGAAACATATTTGCCTCCTTCAGAAGGTCTCAGACATCTTTTCGTGGGACAATGCACATCTTTTTATTGATGCTACTATAATCCCCATCACTGTAATTATCTCTGAAAACGCATTCACAACCATGAGACAAAGTGGCCACCACAGAGTTGTTTTGTTATGATGCCGGATGATTTAGCTTTCAAACAAACTTCTGCGTGGTTTGACGAATTGTAAATCAAGGTAACTGACAGCTCCCGTTCTAAACAATGAGGTCTTCCTAGGAAATGAAAGGCATTCCTCTTCTCTGCCATATCAAAGTAAAGTCTCCAAACAAGACTGACGGATGTTCTAAACAAAACCAGGATGTAGACATGGCAGAACCACACGGCACAGCTCGCCCACAGCAGCGTGTTCCCAGTCTCTCCATATTTTATAGGCTGCAAGTGTGTGGATTTTCATGCAGCGTTTGATGAAAATTGCTTAAACACTTGCATGACTCATTAGAAGTGAGCGAACTAACGGATAAAACGATGTTCATTCACATTCATATAATCTAAATGGCTCATATTGTTTAAAAGTGCTGCTTTTAAAAATAAAGGTTCTTTATTGGCATCAATGGCTCCATGAAAAACCTTCACCTTCCATGGAACCTTTCCATTCCACAAGAGGTTCTTCATAGTGGAAATAGGTTCTTTGAATTATTAAGTGTTTTTCACATTGTGAAACAATGTTTTCTCTATGGCATTGGTGTGAAATCCCCCTTTTGGAACCCTAATTTTTAAGAGTGTTCAAGTAAGCCATTCATAGGTTGATGCTGTTTTTTTGAACATTCCAAGCAGCCCACCAACACCGGTTCAACCAATGGCACGAGTTTGGGGCGGGGCTATCTTTGTGTTGGACTATGTTTGAAAATGTATTATTTTTGCAGTTTCGTTGGTGACGCTAATGGTGCAGAAATTACTTCAGCTTAAGCGAATTTGTCATATATCAACAATCTCCTTAAATAGTTTTTCTTTTCACCTCAAACTTATAGGCCAAGTTCAGTTCGCTTTAACACTCTTGTGCAACACAGACACACTCACGCACATATAGACACACACACACGTACACCCACACACACACTGGTATTAAGCAAGGGCTTCGCCCATTCTGGATGGCAGCCAACGCGGGTCCACCCCTATTCGCCAAGCTCACTTCAAATGCGCTGGCCACCTGCCAGAAACGTTTTTCCCCTTAAAAAAATAATAAAAACTAAAATATATAAACATTTGAACTGTTTTGAAAGCGTACACTTAACACAAAGGGCTAAGACATATAATTATGGGTATGAAGAGATACATTCAGCGCTGGGTTTTGTAACCGCGGGGAGCGGACGAAATGACTAAGACCTGGGCCTTCACGAGGGAATACAGGGCTAAAGGCATCTATTAATGCCATCCAGTCGCCTTTACTGGGCAAAAAGGAAGGGTTTGTGGAAAAAAAAATAAGAAATCTCCTGTTCAATTATAGGATTTTCCCAATAATTATTCTCTGAAAAACTCCAAAAGAATTGGAGATGGAAAGGAACGTTGAGATCCAAGGAAAACATCATGCAAACTATGGCCATAAACACATTGTTCTTGCACCTGCGTGTAAAGGCCGCTCGCCCTTAGCAACCGCCCGTGTTTTGGTTCAAGCACAATTTTTGGACGCAGGTTTCCTAGAAGGCTAATGAAATGCATACAACAAAAATAATCTATGCAGAGGAAAGGTCACGTCATGTCAGATTAGCTTAGAACAGCTGTCTTGGTCTCCAAGGAACGACCAACACGGAAAACCCACAAGGTCACTGAGAGGGATTTTGACTGATTGGAACCACAGTTCTTAAGTGTTTGCTTATATTACAGACACATAGGATGAAAGATCAAATAAAAACGTCAAAACAGTTGGGCTAATATGTGACGAGACCGCTAATTGTTGTTCGAAAGGTGGTCTTATGCAAGACACAACTTACAAAATAGACATAGCTATGCTTATTAAGTCATAAACATTATGTAAATCCTTTTCTCTTAGCTTGTGTTTCTCAATGTTCTCCTGCTCTTATGGTTGGTCTCCTTTCTCTAGGGAATTGAACTTCAATGACCTTCAAGAGTTCCCCGTGGCCATTCGCACACTCGCCAAACTTCAGGAACTGTAAGTAACCGAGACTAACTTACCCAGCATACATATGTCAGTGTGCTTCCTTTAAAGTGGAGCGCTTGGCCTGGCCTCGTGCTCCTTGTAAATCCCACTTAGTCCCTAGAATGTGGTTCTCAAGCACAAGTCTCCTGAAAAAAGCAGATGCTTGGAGATGAGTGCTTAAGTCCTTCCTTCTCAAGTATCCTAAAGTGTTTTTGCCTGCAGGACTGCCTCCTGACAGGTGTTTCTGTAAGATACTAAGGATGTTTACATGGGCAAATGTGAATTGACGCAAACAAATGGCTCACACGTATGCTTATGGAGGAGTTTGAGCTTTGCCTGAGATAAAATGCAACTGGACTCGATTGTCCAAGGTGATGCATTCATTTTCAGCACCCAAAAAGGACCTTATAACCTTGTTTATCTTACACGCGTAATTATTTTAGACTGTTTAGAATTTTCGGATTACAATTTGCTGGCAACATGTGTGCCATAAATTAACTTTAGCATGTTATATTCAGTGACGGCAGATGATGATGAATTATAAGCTGTTTCAGTAGTTGAATGCGCGGCTGCTCCTAATAGCACGTCAGCACTACAATTTATAGCCTATACGGAACAGATGCAGTTAGCTAAAGCACTCTGCAAAGCTGGTCTTGATCGTTGGATTTCCTCATCCCATAGTGGATTGTGTTCAAATGTGCAGATGGCCATATTCTCACTCTCCATGCGTCTTACAGGGGTTTCCATAACAACAACATTAAGGCCATTCCCGAGAGAGCGTTTGTGGGGAACCCACTTCTTCAGACCATGTGAGTATCTTGTCTCAGCAACGACAGTAAAGAGTTTCTCTGTTGACTAAACATGCCTCACCCTTTGATAAACAGACATGTTATAAAAGTATGTTTATGTCAGCCAACGGACCAGGAAATATGTGACAAATATTTGGGTCATTTTACAAACGGGTGCCTTTTGTGTCCATCTTTAACATTTTTAAATGTGTATAAATGGTATGTGTAAATAATGCATTAACAAAATGCAGTTTTTTAAATATATATATATATATATATATATATATATATATAGAGCATTTGATATCTTAAATGTGTGGATTTGATGAAAGTTTATTTTGTAAACTACACACACACACACACACACACATATATATATATATATATATATATATATATATATATATATATATATATCACATTATTGAAATTTATGATGGTAACAGTGTTGGCAATAGGACTTTTAAAAAATTGTTTTATTTTGTCTACATTCTCTCCATTTACATTTTAATTGACAATATGTTTAAAATACTTGCTAAAACAATCTTTAAAAAAATGTGTTCCCAGGTCACCCTGTTGACCCTGTTACCACTTTTTTTTTTGTAAACTCTGTTATCAAGATTTTGCAACTGATGTAACAACAGTAAACAACTGATTTTTGAAAAGTGGACTCGTTAGTAAAACTGTCAACATTAAATTCTTAAAATAATAATAATAATATTTTAAAATAACCATAACCTAACTCATTATGGCTAAATTAATTGTAACACTGTCAACAGTTATATCTCAGCATATATTAAGTTTTATTAACTTAGATTTCATTTGGATATGGCACTGTGAAATGTATTAATGCATAAAGAATGTAAATATATCCTTGTTAAAACAGAACAGGCACTCGTTTTGTATGATCTATCCGATTTCTAACAAAATATGTATTTTTCTTCTCTGTTCAGTAATTTCTACGAGAATCCCATTCAGTTTGTTGGCAGATCAGCATTTCAATTCTTGCCAAAGTTACACACGCTGTAAGTACAAAAGTCTATGTGTGAAATGATAACACACACATGATTAAACAGAGCAGTTTGGCTTCCGATAAGGCACCTCTAATGTATCAGTTGGCAAATGTGTATAATTTCCATTTCATCATCGCTTTCAATTTGATGAATACTGTAATCTCGCTTGCCTCTCTCATAAGCCACGTCTCTCATAAGTAAACATTGAACTAGTAATTTGTCTCCAAAAAAACAGCACGATTCAATTATAACCTCATAAATGCCAGAATATGAGATTTAGCATTTCACAAAACTAATAAAAAGTCATTCATCTCTCTCCAATTACACAGAGAGTGCATAAGAATGCAGAGGGTCTGTTCATCCTTCATTACTTTGATATGAAGTCTACCGTCTTCCGTTGTTGATTTTGGGTAGTGTTGCGAGTGTAATCAAAATGATGGAATCAAGTGGAATAATATTGCCTCTAGATGATAGAGCGCTAAGTGTGTATGGTAACAGTAGACATCCCTGTGGTTTTGCTGGACGGCATCTTCATTAGCAGAACAAGCCTCACTAATGAGTTATCTAATCTTGTTTTAGCTCTTTGAACGGGGCCACTGAGATCCAAGAGTTTCCAGATTTGAAAGGAACCACCAGCCTGCAAGTTCTGTGAGTCTGAGATCAAATGTCCCCATTTCACGCAGGATCAGTTTCACTTAAGAGACTTCCAGAAGTTCTTCCCACCGTTGAGGACAAAGGAATAACCATTGACAAAATAGAGATGCTTTTACTGAACTCTCACCATGTCAGCGGGTCTTGTACAAGGTTAAAAAAAAAAATGCACAGGCATACTGAACTGAGCACTTATGTTTACTGGTGAATGATCAGTTAATATGAAGCCTGGTATATATTTACTGATACTAAAAGCACAGAGAATTAAACCGTTCATTAGAGATAAGAGAGAAGGGTTTTGGTCGCACCCTATTCTCACGCCACTGTTAAGGGCTGTCTATGGGCTGGGTGGGATGCTCAAACTAAGCAAAATGTTGTTAACTTATAATTTTCAGGGAAATCATTGCATCTTTGTCTATAGAGCTTGGATAGTTGGAAGTATATTTACATTTTTTATGAAAAAAAAAAACGAGAAAAAAAAACTACACTGCGCCTTATATTTACCTACAGGTCTGAAATGCACTGAAAATACACTTTCTGACACAATTTTAATGAGATTGGTCTTATTTCCATTAAAAAATTTAATGTATTTTGAGAATCTTTAATGTTGTTTTTTCATTAGCAAACGTACTCGGTTACTAACGTAACCTCGGTTCCCTGAGATACGGGAACGAGTACTGCGTCTTGCTTAAGACGCATATGGGAAAAAGCCTTTTTTCTCCTGAACTGAAGCCTATTTCATTCACGCAGTGAAACTGCACGGCCATTGGTTCGTGCAGGGCTTTAAAAACAAACCAATGGCACGGCAGCGGAGCTGCACGAGCCTATGGCGACGAAGCCCGCCAAAGCCCGCCAGAATGGGCGGGGCATCTGGCTATATAAGCGGGCGCTCGCCACAGGATTCTCAGGTTTACTTCGACTGAAGCGACGACTGAGTCGTGCAGCTACATAGCACGGCCAGCAACGCAGTACTCGTTCCCGTATCTCAGGGAACCAAGGTTACGTTAGTAACCGAGAACGTTCCCTTTCGATACTTCACTCGTACTGCGTCTTGCTTAAGACGCATATGGGAACAGTCCAATCACGCCGTGCTAATGTAGTGGAACGACTAAAGGTATAACTTCCATAAGCAACCAATGCTTATAGAGAAGTCAACAATAACCCAAGGCTAAGCGGGCTGAGCTTTCTAGGTCACAC